GTTAATTAATAATGTTAATTAAAATTAAGGAAAACAAATATATTGATCTGAAATATAGCAAATTAATTTTAAACTAATTCAGGTACAATTACCAAACATATCGCAAGGTCTTTTTGTCTTTTTATTAATTAAATTAATAACATAATTATATAAGACTATTGTCAGTGCACTACAAATAAACTGGTTCTATGCCTTTATTAATAAAACTTATTTAAAAAATACAATGCCTTCTGCATTTTTGTTTTGCCTTTCCCTCCATTGTACCGAAATCGTACCAAACCGTGATGTCTGAACCGAGGTATGAACCGAACCGTGACTTCTGTGTACCGTTCCACCCCTAATATATACATATATAAATGATTTTAAAATAAAAAAATTATAGTGATATAGCAAGTAATCGTAAAAACAAACAATTAATTAGCAATTTGTGTCATTTAGTCGCATCTGACTTGATTTTAACATGCCTTAAAGGGACAGTTCATCCAATAATTAAAATTCTGTCATAATTTACTGATCCAAACCACTACATTTACTGTTCCAAACCTGTATGAGTTTCATTCTTCTGCTGAATGTGAATGTGAACAGAATGTGGGTAACCAAAGAGTTGACGGTAGCTATACGAGTCATTACACACTATGGGCCCTATTTTAACGATCTGAAACGCAAGTATCAAGCGCGAAGCGCAAGTAACTTTGTGGGCGGGTCTTGGGCGCTGTTGCTATTTTACCGGCGGGATAAATGACTCTTGCGCCCGACGCAAGTTTAAAAGAGGTTGGTCTGAAGTAGCTTCATTATTCATAGGTGTGGTTTGGGCGTAACGTTAAATAAACCAATCAGAGCGTCATCTCACATTCCCTTTAAGAGCAGGCGCGCATGTTGCATGGCGGATTGCTATTATAACGGCGGGTTTACCAGGCGCGCGCCAGGAGCGGTTCACAGCCGAGGAGACCGACGTTCTTGTCAGGACCGTGAAAGACTAAGACAGAGAAGTGACGTTGTATGGGGATGGAGAAACCCACCCAAATCAGCGTCGGTTAAACAGGCGTGGGAGGAAAAAAACTAAAAAAAATTACATCTTCATGGACACCACAAAGATTTCTATGAAGGTAAATCAGTAGCTAAACTCGAGAGCACGTAGATGTGAATTTGAGAACTTGTACAATAAATATTCGTACTTGTATGTGAACATTTACACTCACAGCTCCGATGTGAAAACCTGTAAAATAAAAATCTGAAGTTGAATGTTGAGATTTGCACTCGCAGACTATAGTCACAAACCTGTATTCTGAATTTGAAGCTGCAGACAAGCAGTCACAAATGTGTAAAATGCCATTCCCAGAAATACAATGACAGTCACAAACATGTAAAATATATTTGCGCTTCTTCTAACATTCAAATTCGCAGTACAACCTCAAATTGGCACTTGCAACTTCTCAAATCTGTCACTGCAAGTTCAAATTTCGTGCCTTGACTTTTGCTACTCTTTTCGCGATATATGAGGTGCAAAACTGATTTGTGCACTTGTAATAACTCAGTGGCGGTGAGAGCGGAAGGTGGGCGGGAGCAGGGACGTTCGAAGGAGCCGTTTTATTGGTTGGTGCCTAGCCAATGAAATGGGACTTCTATTGTACGCGATGATGTCACGAAACCCGCCTCCTAGTGGATGTTCTGAACCACTAACATGGCTTAATGCATTAGACTAATTTATAAGACATAAATGATATTATCAAACTTAGTAAACACAATAATGCATACTACAAAAAAGCAGATGAGCACAGAATATGAACGCAACACGTTAACTTAAGACAGTGGTATTAAAAGACCAAACTCAGGAAACACCATAAATAAAGCATACAGAAAAGCAATTGAGCAGAAAATGAACACTTGAACAATTGTACGTTAAGCATTTTCCTCTCATAGAAAACCAAGAAAACGCTTAATGAGGCTTAATGGACCAACAGTTATATATAAAAAAATAAAAATAAATCGTTATACATTAATAAAACACAGGCAGCTGGTTTATTTGCACTGAACACAAATTTGCTTTCTTTCGTCATATTCTGTGCTCATCTGCTTTTCTGTAGTATGCATTATTAGTATGGTGTTAATATCACTAAGTTTGATAATATCATTTATGTCTTATAAATTAGTCTAATGCATTAAGCCATGTTAGCGTTTCAGAACATCCACTAGGAGGCGGGTTTCGTGACATCATCGCGTACAATAGAAGTCCCATTTCATTGGCTAGGCGCCAACCAATAAAACGGCTCCTTCGAACGTCCCTGCTCCCGCCCCCCTTCCGCTCTCACCGCCTCTGTGTTACAAGTGCACAAATCAGTTTTGCACCTCATATATCGCGAAAAGAGTAGCAAAAGTCAAGGCGCGAAATTTGAACTTGCAGTGACAGATTTGAGAAGTTGCAAGTGCCAATTTGAGGTTGTACTGCGAATTTGAATGTTAGAAGAAGCGCAAATATATTTTACATGTTTGTGACTGTCATTGTATTTCTGGGAATGGCATTTTACACATTTGTGACTGCTTGTCTGCAGCTTCAAATTCAGAATACAGGTTTGTGACTATAGTCTGCGAGTGCAAATCTCAACATTCAACTTCAGATTTTTATTTTACAGGTTTTCACATCGGAGCTGTGAGTGTAAATGTTCACATACAAGTACGAATATTTATTGTACAAGTTCTCAAATTCACATCTACGTGCTCTCGAGTTTAGCTACTGATTTACCTTCATAGATTTGCCTCATGTGTTCATATTTTTCCTTGTTATAATGTATGATTTGCAAAAATAAAAACTGCTGCATCTGTGTTGATGAGAGAATCAAAGTGTATGCGCGTTGTGCACCCGCTACATTACGGCCAAGCATGCGCGCTTAAAATAGCATTATGAACAACGCGCAACGCGCCACTGACTTTAGACTAGGCTTTTTCTGGTCAGTGGCGCAATTGTTTTCTGGAACTGCAAAATAGCACCAGGAAAAGTTTGCGCTGAAACACGCCTCCTTTTTAGTAGAAAGCTGACTAAAAGTAACTAAGAAATGGGAAGAAAGGCAAGTTGAACTGTCACAAACTAAATTTGTGTTCTGAGAAAAAACCTAAACTGCCACATGATTATCTCTTACACCATGCACAGCTTGGCCCTTTATCAGCAGGACGCTGGGTAAATGTTACATTGAACTATGTGCTTGGGATAAGGCCTAGACTTTTGACATTTGAAGAACTTGTGATTCTTCGTGAGCAAAACAAAACTATGTGGTCAATGTAAGCATAGCATTAAGTGAATGACTATTTGATAACTATTTCAAATCTCTCAATGTGTGTGATGATCACAATGGTAAAGGTTATTAAGTTTTAAAGTAAGGCGTAGATCTGGAACTCTGTTCTCTTGTAAACATTTTTATCCACATGAAACACATAAAAATCTGCACTTTTGATCCGGTTTGCAAACATTACAACACTTTACAGAGACAGACGTCATCTGAGCAATAACAAGGATCTGAAAGCGTTCAAAGGAGGAGCAACCTCAAAAATCCTGTCTCAAATCCTCACCGCAAATACTTTACTGTGCAATACATTGAAATGCCTTTAAGATCTTGAGTGATCATTATGTAACATTTACATGTTCTGTAAATCTTAGCCAGAAGCAAGACTGATGAAATCAGGCACAAAAGAGAAGAAGCCTTGTGTAAGAAGCATTGTGCAAGTGCAACTTCTCAAGTAAAAAAGAAAAAATGCTTATTTAAACAAATGTTTTGACAAGTAACAAACTCTATAAAGTTTTGTTTGCTATCCAACTTATTTTGCAAAAGGACGTTAACTTTTTTTAGTGAATGTGCGAGACTTCTAAATAATTAGCTGTAATAAGTAAATAACTGGACAAATATCAAAGTGCAGTAAACGCCACGGTAAAACTATTTGTGCTACAAACCAATGAGATGATGAATACAATACTGTAATTCATTCAAATAATATGATAAGAAATACCAGTTTGCAATATTAAAGGGATAGTTCACCCAAAAATTAAAATTAGCCCATGATTTACTCACCCTGAAGCCATCATATGACATTCTTCTTTCAGACGAATACAATCGGAGTTATATAAAAAAATGTCCTGGCTCCTCCAGGGATGAGACGGTATGAAAATTTCATATCGCGATTATAGTGACCAAAGTTATTGTGATTATCAATATTATCACGGTTTTGTTAAAACGAGATGAAAGTGTTCAAAAAGAACTGATGCTCACACTGAAAACATTTCAATAAGTTTTATATAAAAAAATCAAACAACAAAACAAAACAAGCAGTTCTATGCACTTTTTAAAGGGGTCATATAATGCCATTTTTGTACAAGCTAATATGATTCTTTAGGGTCTAAATTAAAAGTTTGTAATATACTTTAATTAAAAATTCTCATTAGTATTGTAAGAAAACACTTATTTTACCTGGTCAAAAACAGCTCTGTTTTCAGCACGCCGTTTCAGTGCATATGACTTTAAATGATAATGAGCTTTGCTCACCCCGCCTCTCTGTTCTGCGCATACACCGTTTGTAACACAATAACACAATAACCATAACGCGTTGTTCATTATAAACGTGGGATTATGAATTATATTGAGAACGTTGTACATAGAAAACATGCTGTAATGTACCGTGAGTGTAAACCTTAGACGCATTCATTGTGAAGCGTGCAGCTAGCGATTTGCAAAGATTAATATAAATATTAATATAAAGATTAATAAAACGTTACACTCACTTTAGTTCTTCTGAAGGTTCAGCAGGAAGACGAATATCTGGTACCGATCCTTTATTCAGGAGCAGCTTCTTAGCAAAACCAGCTCATACTGACCCTCATTTATAAATAGGGATGGGACGGTATGAAAATTTCATATCACGATTATAGTGACCAAAGTTATCACGATTATCAGTATTATCACGGTTTTGTTTAAATGAGATGGAAATGTTCAAAAAGAACTGATGCTCACACTGAAAACATTTCAACAAGTTTAATATTTGAAAATCAACAAACAAAAAATACAATTAGCAGCTATATGCACCTTTTTAAGCATAAATATTATATTAACATTAACATGGTGCCCTGAGAGTGAGAGGTATACGTTTTCCTAGTGCAGGTTTTAATGAACAGTACCTTAAATAAGAACATCAAATGCACACATAAAAACAACACAAGTAAAGCAATGTGCATGTAATAACAATACAACCATATGTAAACAAATCAAATGAACATCAATGATTGTATGTCCGTTCTCTTCTTCTAAAGAAAAAAGTGCAGCTGACCTAACATCCTGTATCATATATGCATCTTTGTTCACTTGAGATTGAAATGCAAAAATGTCAGCATGTTTACTTTGTCTGGTTTAAGTAATGCTCTTTGAGGAGAGACAATATGCCCACTGGCACTGAACACTCTCTCTGATGGCACGCTGGTTGCTGGGATGCACAGAAGCTTCCTGGCAACCCTGGCAAGGTGAGGCAGCTCTGATGCATGGCCCTTCCACCACACCAGTGGATCCTCTTCTGCTGGAATTGGGGGCAGAGACAGGTAGACTTTGATTTCTTGTTTCACACTGTCTTCTAGAGTGGTTGGAATCTGACCCTCTTCACCTCTTTGCTGCCTTGTCACTGAAGAAATCTTTCTCAGCAACCCGGCAAGGCCTTTCCCCTCCGATGCTGCTGGTGGAGTGCTGGTAGAGATGCTGCTGCTGGTGGAGGTGCTTTGTGGTTCTTCCCTGACTTGTGCAGCCAGCTTCACAGCTTCCTGGACACAGTCAGTTTCAATTTTTGAAGCCTCAGGCTCATCTAAAGAGCTCCGTTTGAAGCGGGGGTCAATGAAACAAGCCATGTTCATGACTCTCTTTGCCTTATCTGGGTATCTATTTTTGAGGTCTTCTCTCATTAACTTTTTCATCTCCTTGGTCAGGGATGTATCTGTGTCCTTTTCCACCAGAACATCAGAATTAATGTGGTCCAGGACAGGCTTGATTGCTGAGAGTGTTACTCGTGTTTCTGAGGCAAGTGCATCTGTTAACTTGCTCAGAGGTTCGAGGAGCTGGCACAGTTGCTCCATGACAGTTATGTCGGTATCCTTGGGCATTAGATGCCATGTTCCTCTTTCTCCAGCCAGTGTTGCACAGACTGGTTGCTGTTGACTAAGGAACCGCTCAACCATCTTGTGTGTAGATCCCCATCGAGTCACCACATCATGAATTAGAGCCTTCTGTGGCATGTTGAGGGCAGCTTGTTTTTGCCTCAGTTCTCGCCTTCTCTTCCAGCTCCGTGAGAAGCCCTGGACCAGATGACGGCAGGCCTTGACTGCTGTTTCAACTCTCTGTATTTTCAAAGCCTTTGAGATGGCCAGGTTCAAATTATGGCCAAAGCACCCAAGCCACACTTCTGAAAACTCTTCAAAAGCCTTTATCATGTTCGTTGCGTTGTCTGTGGTTATGCAGACCAGGTCTTTTTTGTTGATCCCCCATTCTTCCAGCATGTTATCAAAAAACTCGCTGATGTTTTGAGCTGAGTGATCTTCTGGGAAGAACTGAGTTTCGAGGCAGTTTGATTCCAGTTGCCAGTCTGGAGTGAGGTAATGGATAGTGACGCTTATGTAGGGTTGACCACCACCACTTTCACTAGTCCAGAGGTCAGTAGTTGCAGCAAACCATGTTCCTTGAGCTAATTTTTTTAAAACATCAGCTTTGACCTGGTTGTACAGATTTGGTATTTCAGTTTTGGAAAAATATTTTCGTGATGGCACTTTGTAGTGTGGTACAGCAACTTTCATCAGCCTCAGAAAACCAGGCCTCTCCACAATTTGAAATGGCATCATGTCCTTTGCAATGAAATATGAAATAGCTGCAGTGAGGTCTCGTGCATTTTTTGATGTGGGTGCATAAGCAGTCTGCCTTTTAAATGCTTGTTCAAGTGTCTGTGTCACAGCTGTAGATGAGGAGGGAGTCGAGGGACCAGAAGCATCACTGGGTTTTCCTAATGCACGCCCACTCTGTAAACAAAGGAAAAACAAATGTATTATTATCATTAATAATGATAATAATATTCACTCACTTATGGATGTGTGTATGACTGAATATTATAATTATTAATATAAATAAAAAAGAAATCACTTTCTCTCTCACACACACACACACACTTTAAATGAACAAAATATGTTGGTTTGGTCAGGGTGACTAAACTACTGGAATTCTTATAATGACTATTGTCAATAGCAACGCATTATAACACAGCGCACATCCATGTCTCGGATCACCGCGGACGCGATCTCTGGTTTCATTCAAATGTGTATGTCTTGCGTTGATTGTATTGAAAATTAAATCAGATTAATTTAGTATTAATACTACTATAATATTGTTGTAGTGATCACATTTTCTTGACGATTGTTTTGGACACTGTAACTTGTATAATGGATTTATAAACCGGTAAGATTTCAAAACATTAAGTTAATCACAATTCAATATTTCATGTCCCTGAAATTATTTCTGTGGTAAAAATAAAAAATAAATAATAAAACTGTTTAAAAAGTGTACTATGAAAGAATACAATATATTATCCTTTAAATGTCACCCTTAATAGTTTGAATATGTTCGTTCTTCTTGGCTCGAATCCACTTGCTGTAAAACTTTTCTCTTCGCGGAAGCTTTGCAATAATTAAAAGTGAGATAATGAAATAATTCATCTCCAATCAATATTTTTTGTCTAATTATTTGCCCAAGTTAGTTGTGGTATTAAGGTAAAAGTTAACTTACCTTGCATTCGCTATATAACAGTGGGTGGTTGTCACGTAGATGACTTAGCAGATTTGACGTGTTTCCCCCTTTTGCAGCAACTTTCCTCTTGCAAGATTTGCAGACAGGGTGCCCATCCTCGATTAAATTGCCCTCGGGACTCTTGAAATAGCCAAAATACGACCACACCTCCGATTTTGTCCTCTTGGATGGCTGAAAAATCTCCCGAGCGCTGTCATTGCCTTCCGCCATGTCTTCTCGCGCAAACAAACGACATTGCATGCGCGCGCCTGCTCGCGCCTGCGTCAGACTGATTCTGGCTGGATAGGATTTACCGCGAGTTTTCAAAATCACGATAATCAAACACGGTTTTTATGATAATTAAATTTTAAACGATAATACTAACCGCCAGGACATTTTATCGTGGTTTATCGTGAAACCGGTAATCGTCCCATCCCTATTTATAAAGCAGTCTGGTGTGAAATGATTCGGCAAACATGAGAGCATTGACGTTGCTCGTGGGGAATATTCCCTTCGAAAACAAACTCAGCCACTGCGTCTTCAGCGGTTTGGATTTAGGAACATTAAAATGACTGCTGTGTTCGTTATTACACCCAAGAACAGAACGCCACAATCGCTTAGACGCCATTCTGCTCATAGACAGTGCTCCAGCATATCAACAATGACCGCGCCGGTCCGCGCGGACTATGATTGACAGGACGAGCGAGGGCGGGTCTGTGTTGAAACAGTGCTGTCAATCAACAATCGCGGGAGGGGCGTCCGTTTTATTGACGTCACAAAAACGAACGGCTCAATTTGAGGCAGGGGAAAACATATAAGGAGATTAAAACAAAAACACTGGATGGATTTTTATCATTATATGATGGTTGTGCACAGGCACCGCCAACACACATTTCAGTACAATCAACTTGTAAAAGTGCATGTACCATTATATGACCCCTTTAAAAAAAAATTCTATTCTGTGGCATTTCCTTCCTTATAATGACCGTCGTCAATAGCAACGCATTATAACACAGCGCACATCCATGTATCACAACGGACGCACTCTCCCATTTCATTCAAATACAACTTGCAACTTGGATATTTTTCTTACACGAACGCATCGCGTCCCTTCAGAAGGCCTTTATTAACCCCCGGAGCCGTTTCAAGCACTTTTATCATGGATAGATGCGCTTTGATGGACTTCCAAAAAAATATACCCTTGGAAAAGCTTGGAAGAGCCAGGACATTTTTTAATATAACTCTGATTATTCGTCTAAAAGAAGAAAGTCATACACACCTAGGATGGCTTCAGGGTGAGTAAATCATGGGCCAATTTTCATTTTTGGGTGAACTCTCCCTTTAAGCAACATAAAAGGCTGCTGTTGTACAGCTAAAACAACTGTGGATGACACCGGAGGTCACAAAAATTCACGTTACAACTGGTCTGTGCCCGTGGATACAGTAAGAATGACTCTGGGATGATGTCAAGGACTGCAGATAATATTATGCATTATTATAATGCTAAATAATACAAATACTAAACAAATCAACTTTATTTATGATTAAAAAAAGAGTTACAAACCTTATACTTAAAATGTCCCTGACATTTTGCATTTCTGTCAAACAAGCCTGTTTGCACATCACCATCTTTTACATTTGGCTTGCAAAATGTCAGATTAATTTTGACACTGGGCTCAATTTCAGCTGATTCACAGTTTGCTTTAACAGCGTACTGTACACATTAAATAAAATGAGTTTAGCAAAGAAGGAGTAGTGTACACTGCTAAAAGCTGAAGCTGGTCGTCTCCCAGCCTGGTTTTAGAGAGGTTCTGGACACCTAGCTAAACCAGATAAATAGCAGTTAGACCAGATGAACAGTTGCTTGGCCAGGCTGGGAGAGTAGACCAACATAACCCAGCAAAGACCAGAAAAACATCTTAGTGTGATTTTTACTGGTCTGTTAGCTGGTTTTAAAGGGGTTTGGAGACCTTTGTTTGCTGATAGGCCAGAAAAAGACTGGCTTGGCCAGTATGGCAGACCAACAAGACCAGTTAAGACCATATTAAACCTGCAAGAGTAGAATACTGTTCCATCGTTTATGAATAACTGCACAGGAAAAAATGAGTAATGCACTATTCTCATTAAAGTAACTAACTAGCTACTATTAAATAACTAACCAGAATTAACGAATTAGTCATGTATAACGCTCAATTGTTCGTTATTATCAGTCATATTTTTAATACCTCCTAGATGACTACTAAGAGCTACTAAATACAGGTTCATTGCTAATGTGAATAATGTATAATTAATTTTAAAGTGAAGATCATGGTAACCCACTAGTATTGACTCAAGACACAACTTCATCACCAACTAACGGGTAGATATTGCATCATCAACTGCCAACAACGCCTTTAAGATGTTCTTACCAGATAAATCTTAGTTCTACATGAAAAAAAAGAGATATAAGAGATCTTTGACAATGTTACTCTGTAACACTGGAAACAATGTGACATTCTAAGTATGTTCTATGATAACGTTCCATGTTACACTGGAAACAATGTAACAGTCTGGAGTTGCTGACAGACATTATGTCGAAAACAATGTTAAGAACTGCTCAAAAATCACTCATGTGTTATTTTTCAGTTTCAACTCGAGGCCACAGATGTATACTATGTCTCAAAACTTAGTGACCTGCCTACACAGACAGCATGTTCGGGTCACATCAACATGGAGTATAAAGGCAGCGCAGGAGATTTTGAGACATGGCTCAAAGAGCTAAACTTACTGGATGAGACGTAAATCAACTTACCAGCATGCACGTATCTAGATATAGATAAAAACACAATGATAGTCCGAAAAGTGAAAGTGGATTGTCCGGAGAGTCCCCCCTCTCCCCCCAGGTCGAGCTCGCTGTACTGTCACATCATACGGGGAAAGTTGAGATATGCAGTGCGCGCGCACGGACGTCTTTGCTCTTCAAATGGGAAGCGCCGTTAGATTCACTGATTTCAGCGTCACGTTGAAAACCCCAGAATGGAAACAATCGCTCTCAACAACATTAAAATCTAGCGGTCGCTGTTTTCGGGAGGCTCCTTCAGTGGGGTCACCATTCATCACTGTACTGCACAGAGTGTACCCTACCCAGTACCCACTGAAGACTGTCCGCCGGCGCATGCGCATTCGCGAACGACTGCTGGATGGATGTGTGAGAAACTTCAGTCGTTCATGTTATGGTCCTGAAAATGGTACTGGATAATATATATTCATTATATTTTCTGATGGACACGTTTGTTGTTTTATTAATCGTTTTGCTGCTTCATAAAATCTTACCCCGTTGTAAACTCACAAAAGGTCAACGTGTTCAAAGCATTATCTTTCAACCAGGGCAAAACATTTTAAATTGTGCTTTTAAATGGCAGCCAAGATACAAAAAAAATGACAAATAAGCAAGATTAGATGATAGATAGATAGATAGATAGATAGATAGATAGATAGATAGATAGATAGATAGATAGATAGATAGATAGATAGATAGATAGATAGATAGATAGATAGATAGATAGATAGTGCAAAAAAGCCCTGTAACAGCAAAGTGGCACACATATTTCTGTTAAAACCACAACTAACATATCTAGGCTACTGCAAAGTGTATACGCTCTTAAAAAAAGGGGAAATTATTCTCTAAATATGGAAGAAAAATTAGAATTTGTCCAACACACTTCCTTCGTTATGTTGCAACTAATCAATTTGATATCTTATAATTTGGACTCATAAGTAAAATGAGCTAAACAAAGTTCCAAAAGCAGTTAAGTTTTCATCGTTAAAGGCCTAAGATTAATATTAAAAACTGTAAATTTGTTTTTCTATGACAATAAGAGAGTTGAAGAGGGCTGTGAAAAAATATAAATTGTCCAAAAAAACCTGTCTGTAAATATCATTAAAATAAAATAAATTATCTTAAAAAAAGTTTAGAAAATAAACAAAATAGTATCAATATACTGGACATCACTAAAGAAATGTTCACATTTCCATTACTCACAAAAAAACAAATGCGATGAGAGAGGACTTACCGTGTTGATATATGAACTACTCTATAGCCTTCAAACCTTCAAAACTGAACAGAAGTGGGTGTATAGAAAAATATTGATTTCTTTAGTTAAAAATTTAATTGAGGTGAAAAGCAAAAAAAAAGGAGATACTATCCAGGGTGGTTTGGCAACAGTATTGCGCAAGTCATTACGTCAATAGCTGGAAAAACCAACTCCACTTTACAAATATTATCCGGAGACATTTCTTCCATGCTTTTGTTGGACACGACTATAATAAGTGGCTGTGGTTTGGTTTCACTTCAGATGGTAATATCACATCATCCTGGCTTGCAGAAAATGTTAATCAACATATATTATTCTCATCACTGTCTCCTGCATATGGGCCTTGCTAAAAGACCCAAAGAGAAAAGTCCACGAATTGATCCATCTCTCTCTTTCTCTCTTTCTCTCTCTCTCTCTCTCTCTCTCTCTCTCTCTCTCTCTCTCTCTCTCTCTCTCTCTCTCTCTCTCTCTTTAGATGGACTGAAACTCCTTATTTCTATAAAAGATGAAGATAAAGAAAGATAAAGAGGTGAACTGTCGCCACAGAGGTCTTAAAAATGATTGTGTATATATAGAGAGAGAGACCGGGGATGAAAGAAACACCTTTTGTTTGAGCATTGGTAACTCAGTGGTTGTTTGTGCAGGATCTCTCAAAATGTGATGCATGCAAAGTTCAATTGAGGCGTATAATATTTTGATCCGATAAGACATGCGCATAAACAATGAGTCATATTTGCCACAAATCCCTCAATGTGCAACAAGAAACTCATAAGGGGTTACTATCTTTATTAACTATCCCCACCCCTTTAACAGTCATAACTTGGCTAACTGTTTTAGCATGTGGGTTTGAAGTTAGCATGAATGCAAAGCATCAAATTAAACTAGAGAGACAGCTACTTCAAAAACTGTATCTATTAAATGATTGCTATGCAAAAAAAATTACTTTAATTCCTGAAAATCAGGGTTTTTTTATGTACAATGTTGTAACATCACTTCTCCTGTGAGCTCAAAAGGCGGATGCGAGAGTGTTGATGACATCCTCACGGCTCTTTTCTGAACTGACCACATGTTACAACACTACACACACACACACAAGAAACAAAATGAGCATTGTATCAGAGTGGGCTTAATTTTAAAATACAACATAATCTTATATAATCCTCCAAACAAACCAGCTCTTTATAAGTAAGTGGTTTTTCTCTCTGCAAGGTTTTGCTGTCATACTTACACTTCTCTGATTTCATCTGTGAACCCGCAGTAAAGTTGTATTGTACAATCAAACACTTGTTTGTGGATTTTTCGACCAATTTAATGCAGGCTTTATTGAAACTGTGTTGAACGCTTGGAGACATATTTGCCGATGGGGATTACGACATGTGACATGTTATTTGCCAAGAACATTTAATCATAGCTGTGCAGTTCTTTGAGGTGTCCTGTTGGTTTTCTAATCCAACTGTGGCTTAAACCCATTCTGAAAGCATTGAAATGCCAGTGAAGCATCTTCTTCAAGCCACAGTTTCAACCACAGATGACAAGCAAACATGAGCTCTGTGGTTAAGATCATATCTGCATATAGTAACACTGATGAGATCATTCATCGCTGCAAATGCCAGTCATGTCATTTATATATGGAGCTGGTTTAATGTCCTTCTGTGCATATGCATGTGTGTGTGTGTGTGTGTGTGTGGGTGTGTTTGAATGAGAGCATCATTTTAAAATAATTTTTGGTAGGGTATATTACATAAGCACTTTCTCTAATCTGACTTTGACCTAAAAACAGAAAGGGAAACATGTCATGCTTGAGCTCATGCATTGTGACTTTCTATTGCCATCTAGGGCTCATTTCACAATATATTTTTAACACAATATAAATGTTTACATGAAAGCCTGGGGTAACACCCATGATATGGAAAACAAAAGGAGGATATATGGTACAACTCGGCTTGTTTGGGTGTCACTTCTTAGAAGTGAAGAATAGCGTCATTGCGGTGAATACAATGAATGTTGATAGTGTCTTCTCAGCTGTTGGAGTGAGACTCATTGCTGGGCTTTTCCTTCTCACACATGTCCTTCAAATCTGGAAATAAAAAATAAAATAAAAAAGGGGAAAAAAAAGAAACATGTTGTTGAGAATCTATATTCTGTTTCCAGACGAGACAAAACATAATTATCTCCCAAAATCAGTGTGGGAAAGTTATAAATATAAACATTCCCATCTGGTTTACATGAAATTAGGCTTTATCTCTGATGGGAGAACATTTTGGTCACAGCAAAACACTTTCTCCAGTATAGCCTTAAAGTATAAGAGAACAGAATCAGGAGGAAAACAAATTGAAATTCATAATTTGTGGCACGGTTCAAAGTGTAAAAGCATGACACGTTAGGAGAAAAGGTAAAACTTTTAGTTAATAACATTATTATTTTATTTCATTATTATATAATTAAATTATTGAAATTATTGCATTTGCACATGAGTTGCATTACTATGGATTACTTTAAATTTTTATTTAATTTAACATTTAATTTAAAATTCAGCAATATTATTGATCTGCCTGCATTGACACCATTATATAAGAACTGAACTGAGCTGGACGATGACATCACTGTTTTATCCAGAGCGGCTTTAAATATAAATGAACTAAATTAATAACTTTTTTACAACAAAAATGAACCATCACTGAACTTACTCACGCTGGACTGTGACGCTATTTCCATCTGGAAAAAAAACTTTGATGCATTATATTCCTGTTATCTCTGCTTTAAAACAATCAGTATTATAAAAAGCGCTATATAAATAAACAACGCATGTGACTTGACTTTCATGATACTTTTTTGTCCGGTTTTTGAACTTGACAGTATCACCGGTCAGGAAGAGAGCAGGGTGGACATTCTGCAAAATATCTCATTTTGTGTTTCACAGAACAGGTTTGCATCATATATGTAAATATACGGTGTGTATTATGACTGGAACACTGTATCTAATCGACATCCAGAATATTAAGACACATTGTGGTTTAATATCATGACAGTTATGGGTCGTGATACGTACTAGGAACCAACGAGCTGCAGAAACGTGTTGTCAGTCCCCTTGTGGAAAAGAAGTGCACTTTAGCATATAAAGAGTACTTATTGCAGAAATAATATACTTTAAAAGAATATACAGTACTTAACTGCGAACTGAATGCAATGTTTTCAGCACTTGAAAATGTATAGTTTAACTAGTAACTAGCAACTTAAGAGTGTTTGACCCACTTAAGTAGTATTTTCATAATTCTACTGTTTTTGAAATATGGTTAAAGCGTACTTCTGAATTTAACAACAAGCATATACGATAAACTATACTTCATTGTCATTTATATTGAAACTTGTGTGTCACGTATTTAAGAAATAATATACTTTAAAAGAATATACACTGCGAACTGAATGCAATGTTTTCAGACACTTGAAAATGTATAGTTTAAATTTATATTAAATGCAATTAGTTGAGCTTGTGTGTACTTTGACCAACTTATTTAAATATATTTGTAATCACACATTTGTAATGATGAAGTTGCCATTTAAAATATATTAACTTTAAATGTAGTATTGCGTATAAGTGTACTTTAAAGTACGACAAAAGATTATTAAAACATAATTATTTTTAAAAAGTAGGCTACTTTAAAGTAAAATTTTGACATTGTTATGAAGTGTGTTAAGAAAGTCGTGGAAGTGTATTCTCTTTAAGTGCACTTAAGGGGCCCATCATTATTCCATTAATATTATATTATCTTCAAGTAGTTTATATAAAGAGCTTTTAAGATGTGAAGTACACTACAAGTACAATAATAAGCACACCGTTTAAAAGGGTCATATCTGAATTAGTTCTGGAGTCTTTTATTTTGTATCTTGCTTCATTATACTGTCTTGTCATATCCTCCTGAGACCCAGAAAAAAAAAGTTTTTTGAATTTAGTTTTTTTCCATGTCATCACACTGTTTAGAGCACAATAAACAAATGGTAAAAAAACATATATATAAAATAATATTTTATTCATACGTTATGCTATGTCCTCTGTAGTGGACGCCAGGACTAAGTTGTTTAAAAAATAAAATGACATGAAATTATATGTATAGGCAAAAACAATGGGATTTTTTTTTCAATCACCAATACATTTTGGGGTTTCAGGATTTTTTCAACCAAAATTTGTATAAAGATTATTCTCAACTATGTTATGAAAGAAATAATGGAATGAATTGATACACCATTTTACTTTTTGCAATATGTGGGTAAAATGGCCATAAGTTAATATTCCCATTCAATGCAATGTATCTATACACTGTATCTAATTTGCACATTAATGTGTTCTGGGAGCAACATTTAATGAAAGAATAAAGGGTAATAATTGGAGTAATAATTGGCAACATTTTAATAATAATATCTAACATTTCATAGGAATATTGATGTATAATTTATTTCCATATTCACTTGTTGTGTCTCCCAGAATGCCTGATAAACATGATTTTAGTCCTGATGTCCTCTACAGTGGACACGTTTGAAATCAATGCCCTGTTCTGTAACAGAAAGTTTTTTTTTTTTTTTAAACCCCTTAACATTTTCCTGAGATGTTGTTTTATGAAATACAATTTGAAAAGTAGTCCAATTTATATTATAATTACACTATATTATCATATTTCCATAAGAATGCTACATTTGATCACTAAATTAATGTCAGACATTTTTAAAGACCAAGGAGAAGTTGTTTTCATGGTGAAACCTCCAAACATTTGGTATCTCTGAAAAGTCCTGAATGTGCTCTTTACAGGACACCCAGGTTGTGTCATGTGACATGTATGATGTCAGAGAAATTCACTAAAATATAATGTCCACTACAGTGGACAAAAGTCTATTCTTGGGTCCCAGGAGGATATGGTTTGAGGCTGATGTGTCTTGTTATCTTCTTAGTGTTTTTTTCTGATGTAACTTTGTTCTTCTGTAATGTTTTGTATATACTGGTACATGGCCATTGTTATTTAATGAAGTATTCTCACCTTGTCTAGAGCTTTGATTAAGTTTGGACTGTTTTGCAAAGCAATAAAGCGTGTTCAGGATCACTACAACCTCCACTCACCTGAGCGTCACAGTTCACACTATAGCCAGCAGGACATTTGATTTATTAAGAGATTGCTTTAGTGTTCCAGCAAATAATGTCATAAAGGTTTCAAATAACATGTGATAGAGTGAATGATGACAGAATTACATTTTTAAATGCCTTGAACAAGAGTGCAATGGTGATGATCACCCACACTCAATAAAATATTAATGCATCTGAAATCAAATACTTCTCTAATTTACAGCAGGCGAAAAAAGCACATGACAAAAGAAGTTTGTCTGAATTCGCAGTGCTCATAAGAGTAGGCAAAAAATACTCGGATGAGCGTCTACTGCTTCCCGTGAGATGCTGAAGTGTGCATATAATGGACACTTTATGATTTTACCATTAGGATTTATGAATGGAGGTCATGTAATAATGTCAGCATGGTGGAAGTAGTACATCCAGATCACATTTATATTACACACATTCATAGGATACTATTTATTACATACTTTTATAGTGGTTGCAAAGTAATTACTTATTCATTATAAGTCTGACACAGCCAAACAAACTTATAAACTTAATGTGAGGCATATTAACTAGTCATACATAAATGAAATAGATAAAATTTCTGCACTCAAAAAAAAAAAAACATGGCATATTATTAACTATTTGCATTTTTAAAATGCATTATTCAAATCAGCATAAATCATGTCAGGATCTGAGTTTATTTGTTCATGTTTCGAGTGTTTTTGATCAGTTTTCTGTCCAGGTCATGTCTGAATGTCATTGTTTATCTCTCAGTTTGTTCTATTAGTTCAGTCATCCTCGTTTCTAACAATACTAACACTTTCTCTTCTATTCTATTTTTTTTATTTATATATTAGATTAAACTGAGAAGGGTCATAGCACTTGCATATTGTTGCCCTACTGTTAGTTTAACTGCTTCTATTGTTCTCATTTGTAAGTCGCTTTGGATAAAAGCGTCTGCTAAATGAATAAATGTAAAAGTAAATGTTTCACCTGTTTGTCTCCATAGCCACTGATTTGATTAGGTTCCTCAGATCAGGTGTTAGCTCCTCAGTTTGAGTATAAAAGCCCTCAGTTTGAGTTAGTTCTTTGTCCTGTATTGTCTTTATGTAGTAGAGTGTGTTTTTGATTTTGATTCTCCTGCGTTTTGATTTAAGACTTTGTATCCCCACTTCCTTGAGTGTAGTGTGACTAGAACACACCAGAAACGTGACAGTTCATTGTGAAAACTTGCATTTATTCCATTAAAAAGTACACTCACCTAAAGGATTATTAGGAACACCATACTAATACTGTGTTTGACCCCCTTTCGCCTTCAGAACTGCCTTAATTCTACGTGGCATTGATTCAACAAGGTGCTGAAAGAATTCTTTAGAAATGTTGGCCCATATTGATAGGATAGCATCTTGCAGTTGATGGAGATTTGTGGGATGCACATCCAGGGCACGAAGCTCCCGTTCCACCACATCCCAAAGATGCTCTATTGGGTTGAGATCTGGTGACTGTGGGGGCCATTTTAGTACAGTGAGCTCATTGTCATGTTCAAGAAACCAATTTGAAATGATTCGAGCTTTGTGACATGGTGCATTATCCTGCTGGAAGTAGCCATCAGAGGATGGGTACATGGTAGTCTCGCGTAGCCAGACCTTCAGACTGACGGCTGAAGGTCTGGAATTCATAGCAGCTTTCTTTGGCCAAGGCCCGCCCATAAGGCCGTTTGACCGACATGTCAAACAACCAATTACAGTTCGTTTCGTTCAGCGTCACGTTTCGGGGCGTGGAAATATCCCCACAACAACAGACCGGCGTGCAACAAGTCAGTCAGCATAGAAAATCAAAGGAGGAGAAGAAAACTTCAAGAGTCTATGCCGTGAACCTCGCATACTTTTGAGAATCCTACATTTAGCTGATCTTGATAAATGCTCATTGTCACTCATGTAAACACAACAGTTTATCTTCCGCAATCACACGTCTGC